TTTTACAAAAAAATCTACCAACGTCGAAATGTTATTTAAGAATCTATTGACAATGTGGATGAGCTGAACTGAACTGAACTAGAGACATTCAAACTGGAATTCTGATGAGTTGGCCTGAAGCAGTTGCTATGTGAAACTGGAATTACAACTTGCTGCAAACACCTGGAGCTGAATTGTAAATCCCTGTAATGAGAAACGCATGAACTGTCAAAGTGACATAATCTATCCTGGAGGATGTTGCTATCTGAAATGTTGTTTTGAATTATGGATGTCTGTAATACATATCCAGTTTAGACATTACATTTTTAAACAGCTTGCCATATATGCACACACACTCAAACACTCTCCCATCTGTTGATCTAAAACTGTACTACAAGCAACGAAATGGCCTATCAGTAGGTGTTCAGCCTGCTCTTCTCCTTCATCCGGATTAAGAGTAAGATTAGATAGTGGCTGTCAATCCCATTAACTCAGCAGGGGATGAAGCAATTAGGTTACATCATTGGGCTAAAGAGCAAATGCACTCAGTTAGTATTCCAGTGAAAACACTGCACTGTATACAGCATTACCGCTCCTGCTGTTTACTAGGGAGGCTGCTGGCCCTGACCTTAAACGCAGCCTTTTCCCATGACCTGAAGTATCCTCCCCAACGCTAGCTGACGTTAGCGCCAACGCTAGCATCCCGTGATCAAAATCAAGCTCGGCTAGCTGGTGACAATATGATCTGATTTGTGTGCTTCCTGGCAGCCCCTCGTCCAGCTTCAGCAAATGTTTGCCTGCTGGAGATGCAATGCCATGCCTATTATGGGCAGCAGTAATGCGAGTGAGATCTATATCTGCGGGCAGATTGTCTGTCTGGCTCCACTCATCCATGCCGTTTGCTGGACAGACCAGGAGAAATCCTCGGTATCGACCTGAACAAACCCCCTCTGGGACGCCCGAAGGTCAATCTGAGGCGAGCTGAGCACCGGAGAAGGAGGGAGGAAACAGAGAGCAGACGCAGGCTTCAAAGCGGCGCAATCTCAGGAATTATCAAAGCCTGTTTTGAGCTTTAAACAGAACTTGTGATCGTGGATATGACTTATTTTCATGCCTGATGACAAGCCTTAAACGAGAACTACACAGTAAAAGAACATCCTGCAGGAAAAAGGTGAAAATGTGGGAGAAAAAACACATTCAAAAACTGTCAAAAATCCTGAAAATAACTAAAAACATCTGTAAAATAACATTAATTATATCAGATTTAAATACAGTGCAACAGTATAATGTCATGGGTACTTATTATGAAAAGAAAGAGGATTTTTTTCATGTCGACATTAGTACAGTTTAGGCTTTTAATTTGTAAATTCATACTATTAAGTAGTGATTTTACAAGATATTATCTGCAATTTAACAAAAGAAGGAAAATCTGTAAACTAACAATTAAAAAGGTCTTTAATATATGTACTTTTTCTTTCAAATAAGAGCAAATATTTTTTTTTGCTCATATAACTGAAGTTTTTTTAAAATGCGGCTATATCTACAACAACAAATTACCCTCAGTTCAAATATAAATTTGGGATTTTGATGTTATTTACAGTTGTGGCCTTTTTTTTTCTCTGAGGCAACGTGTAACTTAATGCGTTTTTGTGTGATTTTAGTAGTTTTGATCTGTAATTGGACATAACAGGTAAAAATCGGTAAAATACCAGTTTGTTGATTTTCATTATCTAGAATTTTGCTTTCAAATAATTGCAACTATCTCGAGATTTTTGCTTTAAATACAATAGAAAACGGTGTAATTTTGCAGTTTTTCTTCAACAATGTAAAAGAACAAATCATCATGAGCAAAAACACTGATTTTTGATGTACAGTTTTAGTCTGTTTTATAGCTAACATTTATTAATTTTTTTTCTGTGATTTTACTATTTAAAACCTGATTAATAACCATTTAAAAAATCACTTTCCATTTTTCAATATTTAATAGATTTTGTTCATTTAAATAACGACAAATATCTGATATGAATTACCAATAAAATGCAAATACCATTTTTAAAGTGGACCTATTAGCAGTTTTGCAATGTTTTTTAATGGTTAACAAGGAAAATAACACTTTTTTGTGTGACTTTCCTGGTTATTACAACAAAACGGGGGAAAACCTGTGAAATAACAGTACATTGTACAAAGAATTACTGCTAAAATACACTTAAAAACTGCAAAAATCAACACCTTTTTTGTTTTCTTACAATTTTTTTCAGAATCTCCTGAACTAATAACAAAATATTAAATATCAAACTCTACAATTTAACAGAAACCCCCCCCTTTGAGCATCCAGTATTGTATTTTTTCCATCTCAGGCTGATTTGCAGTGATAGTTACTGTATGTTTACATTCATACTCGCCCTGTAAACACAGTTGTAGCGAGAGAACTAAATATAGGGCAGGCCAAAAAAAAAAAAAAAAAGGGAAGCAAACACAGATGACTGCACGCAAGCCAGAGATAAAAGTGATGGCTGAAACACATGCGGTAGATGTTAGCAGCTACTTTGACAGGGCAGCTTTGACGTTATCGACTGAATGAGATGCCGACGGTTTACTGTGATTCATATCTGCTTTCAAACTTTGCATGTGTCTGCTGACGGGAAACCCTCTGACAGATCTGCAGACGCGAGCTTGTATCCTGAAAAGTTTGCTGCACAGACCTGACCGAGGCAAAATTAATGTACACACTTGCCACATCTCTTATATAATAACTGCTAACACCACTTTCTACAGATGAAAGTAATACAAATTCCCCCCCCCCCCCCCCGACTCTGGAGCCTCAGTATGTTCTGTAGTATTTATGTTGCACTATGAAGGATTTTGTTGGTTAAGAGAGCTGCCGATCGCTTTCATCATCGATTAATTGAATTATTATTGTTTTCAGTTTCTTGTTTGGTCAACAACAGGTCCAACAGGAGTCTGTAAAGCTCTAGGTGATGTCTTCATGTGTCTCGTTTTGTCTACTCAACTGTTAAAAATCCAAAAATATTCAATTATCTACCACTTAAGACAAAGACAAGTAGCAAATTTGGCATTTTTGCATTAAAAAATGTATAATTGGCAAGTCAGTTTCTGTCAATCCATGAACCGTATCAGTTTGGGTTTATTGTTTACGTTTTTGATGCTTTATTTTGTGTATGATAAATTCTCCTAATATGTACAAAATAGGGCTGCAACTAATGAGTTGATTTTCTTTTTTACTTTTTTTTTTTTTTTTACGATTAATCAAGTTTTGTCCATAAAATGTCAGAAAATGGTGAAAAACGTTCAAGATGACAAATGTCTTGTTTTGTCCTCAACCTAAAGATATTCTGTTTACTATTTTGTTTTGTTTTTCTCGTAAAAAAAAAAAAAAGTTCTCCAAACCAAATAATCGATCATGATTACCTTAACAGCTGACAACTAACTGGTTAACAGTTGAAGCTCTACTTTGAAATACTAGTTTTTAACGCTACTTTTCTACACCAAGCGTAATTCTTGTACTCTTGCTGAAACACATTTTTTTTTAAACAACTGTTCTTACGTTGTTTTATCTGATACACATATTAGAGTCGGATTAAGTGATTCATCGATAAGCCAAAAAATATCAGGTTTACTGTCATCATAGGGGAGGAAATACACAGGAAAATAAGGACATTCCAGAAGCTGCAATCAGTAAATTCAGTCTTTTTCTTTAAAAAAAAATTGAAAAATGACTGAAATTGATTAATTGACTATCAAAATAGTTAGTTGACAACTCAGATTATTCAATTAACCACTTTGGATCTAGCATAAAATAGTTAAAACAGAATAAAATAGTTACTTATCCATACAGCGCACACTCACTTCATGTTATATACCTATGATAAAAAAAATAAAATGAAAATCAGAAAAAAATAATACAATAAAACCCGTGGAGCTGCAGAGATTAATAACTTAATTGATCAACCTAATAATTACGAGTTTGTAGGTTATTCGTTGATGCATCAATGTGTCATAGTTTTGCTATAACAAACCTCTATCTTCTATTTATTAAATGAAAATAAAGACCATAAAACTGAGCGAAAATAATCAGTTTACTGACAGAGCTGCAACAAGTAATCGACTAATTGTCAACTTTTAAATTGATAGCAAGCAATTTTGACAATCAATTACTGGTTTTTGAGAGGTATTTCAAGAAGGTAATTGGTAGTTGCAGCCCTGTTCTGTATATATTATTAGAATTTACTGAACACAAAATGGCACCAAATGCAGGACAGTGACTAATAATTATGTCCACTATTGATAATTCTCTTGATTAATCATTAATCGATCAGTTGGGTTTACTAGACATAAAACAGTAGCAAATGTCAAGAAATAAACACAGCAGAAAACATTCATATTTAACAAGCCAGCTTTAACGATTCAAACTTCTTTTTTCCCATAACAAATTATCAAAATAATTGCAGCTAATTTTCCACAACTAATCGATTAATCGTTGCAGCTCTACCTGAGAAAGGTGTATTGTTTCAGTCTGTGTGTTGAATCGGATCATTCTGAGCACTTTCTTCACAAAAAAAATAAATAAAAATCTCAAGTTGAATTACAGAAGTTGAAGTCTTTGTGGACAAGAGCTGGTTTATTTAAGATAAACAGGCACAAACACAGAAAAGGAGCGTTTAGTGAAACGAAGCGGCGCTAAAAAAAATGACAAATCACAGCAGCTGGACTCGTCGTTGCTCTTATTTTATCACTATTCTGCACTATATTGTGTTTTTAACCGCTTAACTGCAGCAGAATAAACAAAATGCGACTCAAAGTGCGGTTTTAATCCGGCAGTTTGTCTCAGCAGCCTTTCGGAGAAGTTTACGTGCTAACAGCTAACTCGCTAACGTTAGCTAAGTTTGTATCGCATCAGCATCCGAGCTGCTAGCGGCACCGTTAGCCTCCGGAGCAGCCGAGCTAGCCGCTTCTGGGAGCAGAAAAGCGGATAAAAAAAAAAAAACGGACTTTATTCCTACCTTGTGTGGCCGAGTCCTCCGGTAACGTTTTACCGGCAGCTCCCGAGACGAAGTATCCCAAAAAGCAGAGCAGAATCGCCGCGGCGCCGCTCGGCTCCGCAGCCCGCATCACTGCAGATGTGTGCGAAAACGGCGAAAGAAACAAAAGTGGAAAACGAACAAATCCGTCGCTGGTTTAAACTCTCTGTTCGCCCGCATCAGACGCACGTCGCTTTATTCCGCAAAGCAGGAGACTCTCCATGTTCCGGCGGCGGCAGCGGTGCTGGTTTCCTGCCCGTGGAGCCGAGCTTCTGCCGCATCCCCAGCCCCCTTCTCTCGCCGCTTCTCTCGGTGGCTCTCTCTTTTTTTTTTTTTTTTTTTTCCACGGACGGGCCCCGGGTCATGGAGGAAGACAGCCCCGCTCCTCTCAGCCACATGCCCCAGAACAGCTCCAACAGGCGGCTTCTTCCACACGCAGCGCCGCCGAACATCCGCGCACCTCCAGCGCCACCTGCCAGAGAAAAGGCGCAAAGTTTGGCGTAAGTTTCACTGATTTTTGCACCTTTTCAGCCAAAAATATGTAAACCCGTGCAAAGTTTTGATTTATAGTGATTTTCTGTTTGCCAAGTATTTTTTTTTTTTTGACTGGAAATAATATAAACAAGTGACAGAACACAGTCAGACGCTGTTTGTAAAACATATATTAAACCACAAATGTATTCATACTAATGCCAACTTTTGACATGAAGTGATTTTTCTATTTGACCACTGTTTTTGTTTCTCTGCCTGGAAATGAAAACAAGTGAGAACAGATAGTAGAACATCATGTTAGAGATTTGTAATGATGCATTTGACTATTTATGACGTTTTCATATTTACTAAAATGTAGAAACATACAGTTAGGCCACAGATGAGTTCATAATTATGCCAACTTGAATTTTAATTGATTTTTTTTATTGATCCAATAGGTTTCTTCTGGCTGGAAATGACACAACCAAGTGGCAAAATTCAGCATGACAGTGTGTTAAACCCTATTCAGGACTTTGGGGGTCTTTCGGACCCCAGGCCATTTGGTTTAACTGACAGGTAGTGTTTTTGTACTTTTGAAGTTTGTTTTTTTTTAATGTAAAAAGAAGAACTTTTGTCATGCATTTAGAACCAAAAATATGTAAACTTATCAGAAAATTGATTTAACATAGTACAAAAGTCTATAATGAAAACCAACAAATATTTTGCACATATTCTTTGTTGGGGTCCAATGGACCCTGAAAGACCTTCTGTAGTTGATTTTAGGGGGACCAGGAGTCTTTTCAACACCGTATCTGTGACTCTACCTGGATTTAGTAATAAAGAACGCTGCCTCTGTGCTGCTCTGGAGCTCCTGGAGGTGCTTGTTGGAAGTAGGATGCTGCACAAGCTCAATAACGTCAGACAGCAGAGTGTTTTCAGTTGGAGGCGTCTTTGCTTCTGCTGCAGTTACAGAAAGTTGTTCCTGATGCTGCAGCAAACTGTACAATGATCCTCCTCTGCAAAGGAAGGAGACTTATCTTCTGCACATTGAACTTTATTTTATTAGTTTTCTTGTCGTTCTTTTATTCATCTGTTTTAGTTTTTGTGTTTTAGCAGTTTCCCTCAGCAGAAGGACAATGTGCTCGCTGTGCAGCAGGAAGGCCCATGTCAGCTTTATATTAGTAGACATTGTGTCATTATCACCATTGAGTTTTCATTACTGATTAACATATAAGCAGGATTTCAATTTTGAAGCTTGCGTAGCTAAAGCTACGCTGTCAAAAGGTACTGTAAAAAAAAACAAAACAACAACAACAACAAAAAAACAGAAAATAATCATCTCATCGAAATACAATAGTTTTACATCAAGAAAAAACATTTTCTAGCCATAAGTTTATACCATAACATATAATAATGAAGGATTAAATTAGATTAGATAAGATTAGATTAGATTGCACTTTATATTTCCCCACAAATGGGGAAACTCACTTGTTGTAGCAGCATGGACACAGGGAAGATAACCAAAAAAATGACAGGAAGAAAAGAGAACAAATAAACTATAAATAGGAAGAAATGCAGTACAATAGAGCTATACGCACACACACTATATACACAATAGATAGTGTGTGCGTGTATAATTATCTTAGGAAGTAATGTTGAACTTTTGCAGAAGTTTCTAGGTTTTAATCAACTGAGTT